AAAAAAAAAAAAAAAAGAAAGAAAAAGAAAAAGAAAAAAGAAACTAACAGTATTTGGAGAAACTGGGAAAATATATTTTTATAATCTTGAGAAGGAAAGTCAGTTGTAAGCAAGATATAAAGCCCAAAATCTGGAATGAATATCAGAATTAAAAACTACTATCTGCTAAAAGACATCATATGTGGTAAAAACAAACAAGAGACTGGGGAAAATATTTGTACATATATAAGAGACAAAAGGTTAATATCCATAATATATAAAGAAATCCTATAAGTCAAAAAGAAAAAGAGAACAGAACAAACAAAATGTAGAGGCAAACAGTCCAAAGAACAAGAAATACAAATGATCATTAAATATGTAAAAGGCTGTTCAACCTCACTAGTAGACAAGAAAATGCAAATTAAATTAGCACTCTAAGACCTTTGGCAAAACATTACCAGAACCCACCTCTATCCTGACAGATGTCTAGCATCGGAGCCATCTTACCTTTGACACATAGTAACGATTAACTCCAGAGACGCGCCTATCTCTTTCCATCAAAGTCCACTGATGTGAATAATAGGCAACCCTTTTTTCCTACAATCAAAAGAAATCATTATTGCAGTTTTAAAATGAGTGACCCAACAGAGAATTTTGGAACTTTAATAAGTAACGTTCTAGAAAAGTGGAATCATCACTGAAAAACCAAATTAACAATGTAAATCCAGAATCCTAAATAAAATCAGACCACTAAACTTCAGAATTAAGATGGTAACCATGACTTTTACAATTTCTATTTTAATCAGTGTCATCCTCCTCCTCCCCCTTTTAAAGACATGACTACTTGTTTTCTTTGGGGACTCTAATGACATGAAAACAACAGCGGTAGATCACACGTGAAGGACAATCACAAAACCAAAACGCAAATACGTTTATACTCTATACTCTAGCGATGATGTGAAGGACTAGAAACAGGGGTAAATGACAATGATGAAAAACAGGATATTGTGGTAAATTCCTGAAAGCTCACAAGAGAAAGTGGGGGGTAAAAAATATCAAGGTAAAAACCTCATTAAGGGTGAGGAAGGAGTAAAGAACGAGAAGCCACAAAGATGTGAATGCGAGGAGTTAAAACAAAAATCGAGCAAGAAAGGAGACTAGAAGTCGGAGGGAGTAGGGACAAAAATGACACCTCCCTCCTCTGCCTAGGAGCTTGGACCTACCTCTAGTACTCTCCTACCTTTCTAGCCCCAAAATCTTGACTCGACCCTCTGGCCCACTCTTCTCCACCCAGCAACTAACTGTTTCTTGCTAGAGAAGAATGTGGTTTCTGTCTGGCTTCATTCCGCAAGCTTCTGCTTTCAGGAAAAATGAAAAAAGGGGAGGGCCGACCTTCTCCACCTTGGACAGAGGTTCCGGATGCTAATGGCCTCCCTACCCCACCACCCACTGCGTCACAGCGGTCCGCGGAGTCAGCCGGCGGGCCGTAGAAGCCGTCTTACCTTGCCCCCGTTGGTGAACCTGTGGATGTGCGCAGTGGCTACCCCGGGAATGAGTAAGCACACGCCCATGACGGCGATTCCGGGGAGAATCTCGAACCACATCGCGGCCGCGTTACCAGGGTCAAACAATACCTCCCAGGCCCCTTAAAAGTGACCTGGATTCGGTCCCTTCCCGGTAAGCCCCGCGGCAGCTGGGCGGGGTTACGTAAGGCTCCGCAGGAAACGACGGGTTCCCGCAGGACTCAAGAGTGGCGCGCGCTCGTACTCGCGCTCTCTCTCGCCATCGTGCTCTTGCAACCCCATGCTCCTGCAGTCCTCTTTCCGCAGCCCATCTTGCTCCTGACTCTCAGCCAAGCGCACGACGTTCAGTGACGTGAAGAGACCCCACGCGATCCAGAACACTGCATCTGTTTCGGAGCTCGGGACTCGAGAATGGCAGAGAAACTTTCTCCAGGAAAGGGGACAGACCAGGTATGCACCTTCCTGTTCAAAAAGCCTGGGCGAAAAGGAGCTGCAGGCCGCAGGAAGCGCCCAGTCTGCGACCAAGGGCCCAGAGACAGCAGCAGCAGCAGTGACGAAGGCAGCACTGTGGTTCGTCCGGAAAAGAAGCGGGCGCCCCACAACCCGATGATACAGAAGACTCGTAGCAGTGGTAAACAGAAGGCGGCTTACCGCGACTTGAGTAGTGAGGAGGAGGTGGAGGAGAAAGAGGAGAATGGGCCGGAGAGCCTTGGTGTGGTCTACAAGTCTACCCGCTCAGCGAAACCTGTGGGGCCAGAAGATATGGGGGCGACTGCGGTCTACGAGCTAGACACAGAGAAGGAGCGTGACGCACAAGCCATCTTCGAACGCAGCCAGAAGATCCAGGAGGAGCTGAGGGGCAAGGAAGATGACAAGATCTATCGGGGAATCAATAACTATCAGAAATACATGAAGCCCAAGGATACGTCTATGGGCAATGCTTCCTCTGGAATGGTGCGGAAGGGCCCCATCCGAGCTCCCGAGCATCTCCGTGCCACCGTGCGCTGGGATTACCAGCCCGACATTTGTAAGGACTACAAAGAAACTGGCTTTTGCGGCTTCGGAGACAGCTGCAAATTCCTCCATGACCGTTCAGATTACAAACATGGGTGGCAGATCGAACGTGAGCTCGATGAGGGTCGCTATGGTGTCTATGAGGACGAAAACTATGAAGTAGGAAGCGATGATGAGGAACTACCATTCAAGTGTTTCATCTGTCGCCAGACCTTCCAAAACCCAGTTGTCACCAAGTGCAGGCATTATTTCTGCGAGAGCTGTGCACTGCAGCATTTCCGCACCACGCCACGCTGCTATGTCTGTGACCAGCAGACCAATGGCGTCTTCAATCCAGCGAAAGAATTGATTTCTAAATTGGGGAAACGTCGAGCTGCAGAAGATGGTGGGACTTCTGATTTGCCAGAAGATGCCGATGAGGGTCCAATTCCCATTACATAGTTTCCCCATTATTCTCCAATCTCAAAATAAATATTTTAGAAATTTTAATTTGTGTCCTTCCTTTCTAGGGAAAGTGACAGAGGAAAAGGCAGATGGTGAAGTAGGGTCCTGGATAGATGGCTTGTAGAAGCATCGAGGTAGGTATAATCTGGATTTTTACCTGATACAAATGCTGCCTGTGTGTGACTTTTCAGAACCCTTTGGCATAAATTACAAGAATGGGAGAAGTTCGAGAAAGGAGCTAGAATTTGCTTGAAGTAACCAAAGCTGTAATGAAAGAAATGAACCTATTTATTATTATCACATTTCTGTATCACTTAATTTACAAAAGTACTTTCATGCATTTTCTCTATTGGGAGCCTGTGCTACTTCAAAAAACATTCCAGCCACAGTGTAAGGTGGGGTGGCATGTGAGTGGGAGAATTAGGTTGAGGGACTGATAGCTAGTATTACAGCGTACATGTATGGAAAATAGTCCTGGCTCTCTTTGAAGTACCTATAGTAACCCCCTTTCCACGGATGATCGAAATGATCTATGCTGTGCTGTCTATGATAGCTGCTGGCTTCTTGTGGCTGTTGAGCACTGGAAATGTGGCTGGTAGCCACCATATTGGTCACTACAGTTCAGAACCTGCAGAGGGCCAAAATCTAGTATTTTATAATCCATTGCTTGAAACTATCTGTGTCCTCACAGACCCTGCAATATAGCTGATCATGTCCTATTAAAGTTAATTCATGTACCTGTCTTCCCAGCTAGTTTGTGAACTCCTCAGTGACTAGCCCAGTGCTTGGCATATAATCAGCACTTAATAAACCCAGAGAGATTTCAAAAGGGATATCGGGGCCAAAGCCTTGAATCCAAGATGAGGAGCTTTGACCAAATTCTGTAGGTAATGGGGAGATAGCAGAGTTTGAGGGAAGGGAACACAATCAGACTTTTTAAATGTTAACATGATTGCAGGCTATCAGATTGCAGGGAGAGGGATGATAAGAGGCAGGGAGGCCAGTTAGGCCAAATGATTAGTAAATTTTTATTGATCAGGCTAGAATTTGAGCTAATCCCAGGAAACAGATGCAAGAATAAATGGTGAGTTAGGTTTGTTTGTTTTTTTTTTAATTTGTATTCATTAATCAATTTAAA